GCTGACTGGCCCAGACTGTACCAATGATAGTTGCTGGTTCTTCCATCCAGAAAAGCTTGGTTCACAAGTTGTTTTGCTTTAGTTGGGTGGTTATTATTATTTCAGATCACATTAATCAAAGGCAATCAGTGCTACCCAGCTGATAGCATTGAGTGATGGGTGTTTGATATTACTCTGTCTCTTCACGGTGTGTACACATATACACGGTTGCACATACATAACTGAAGTGGGGATGTGATATCTAAATGAGGCACCTCTGAACTAGTGTAATCCGGGTTTAAAATGCCACAGAGCATCCAAGCACACAGCACTGCACTGGTTTAACCATTCTGTTGCTGTGGTTTGGCAATGAAAGGCTTTGGCTGCACAATCATACACTGGAGAGGATGAGCGTGTGCGGTCAGTGCCATCACTGAACAGAGCTGTTGGTGGTGACATCCAGAAGGAGGCAGACCCCTTGGTCATTATGTCCATGATTTATAGATTAAAGCAGGTGATTTACCTTTTTTTTTTTTTCCCCTTTTTCTCAGTGGATGGCACTTTTCAAGCGTTTAACCGTGAAGCCTGCTCAGACAGTCTATTGTTTCTCCTCCCCAGTTCCCAAGGCAGAGAATGAAGTCCCGTCCCCAGCCTCTTCCCACCACAGCAGCAACCAGCCAGCCTCGCTGACAGAGGAGAAGCGAACACCGCAGGGCAGCCAGAACTCCCTCAACACCGTCAGCTCGGGCAGCGGCAGCACCAGTGGCATCGGCAGCGGCGGTGGCGGGGGCAGCGGTGTCGTCAGCACCGTGGTCCAGCCCTACGATGTGGAAATCCGCCGCGGCGAAAACGAGGGGTTTGGCTTCGTCATTGTCTCGTCGGTGAGCAGGCCGGAGGCGGGGACGACATTTGGTAAGTCTCGGGGTTTTTTCAGAGCGTGTCAAATGAGACGTAGATTTGAGCACTGCAGTGCAAGGAGGCGAGTGCGGATCTGTTTAATTAAAAGTTTTGAGCATGCCCTAATTTATGTAATTAATAGCTTAATCGGAGGCCAAGACTTGTAGGTGTTTGCCTCCTGGGTTTTCTTCAGCACTGAGTCGAGAAAAGCAAAAGGAGAAGTCTCAACCAGAAGAGCAAAAATGCCACCAATGGCAATTCTTGATGCTCCCTGAAGCTCCATCTCTCCCTGCTAGCTGGATGCCTTTCTGGGGTTTGCTCTCAGAAGAGCAGCCGGGGATCCCCCCAGTGATGCTCTTTGCTAATGCAGAAATGGAGCAGGTGGAATGAAATACGTCTCCTGATGGTGGAACGGAGCCAGTCGATTTAAAAGCAGTAATACTTAAACTGATGAACTTCTCTTTGGCAATCAGGGTTGTTCTGATCCTCGTTATGGAGTGAGCATACTGATAGCTGGAAAGTTTTAATTAATAGTGCTTGCTGGTGAGACATAAAATGGAGAATACTGTTAAAAAAACAGGGTGGTTTTTTAACCCATTCCACCTCTTCCCACATCCGTTTCTTCAGCATAGGGGGAAATGAAGTTCACGCGATGTCACAGTTAATATCCTGCCCTGATAGAGGTGATTGTGGTTTCTTTCTGAAGACAGTTCTTTCGGCTAGACAAACACCCCTTTCCAGGTGTTGCTGCAAAAGAGGTGTAATTCTGTCTGCAGAGCAAACGAGTCATATGTTGCAAAGCACAAATAAGCTGGTTTTGCGAGTGTGCGCAGATCAGCCTGATTTAGAGCAGTAATGTCATGGTAAGGGGGAAACCGGTCAGGGATGCTGTTTTCTTCCCTTTCTGTCTCCTCCAAAAGGGCCAGAGGCAGCATCCACTTACACTTTTTTTTAGGTGGTGGTCCCCCCCCTGTTAGTCTGTGGCATGTGGTGGGGATGGAGGGGGAAAGGAAAGACAGAACAAGTGCGTGCCTTGGCCATCTTCACGTTACGTCTCAGAGCAGGGTTGTGGTTTGCAGACAAAATAGTCTCCCTGTGCGGCTGGAACGTTCCTGGGGCACGCAAGTGCATGTGGCAAGAAGTGGCCTTTGCCTCTTTTTTTTTCCTAAGCTTTTTTCTCCGAAATTTCCTGCCATTGCCCATCATCAGTGCTCTTACTAATAAATCAGGGGAGCATCACCTCCTTTGCTGGTATTGATGCAGAACAGGCCATTTCTAGCACTGTTCTGGCAGTCATGGCAGCAGAGATTTCAAGGGGGAAATATCTAGTATAGACCCGGTGCATCGAGTTCTGTCAGTTCTCAGGCGCTAGGCTACCTCATACTGTCCTCACTGCTGGAAAATGCTTATCCAAAATAAGTGTTTCGGTGCCAGAACACAACAGTGTAATGTAATATAGATTAAACTGAACTCAGTTTAAACCGGAGAGAGCGCTTTTATCTTCTGAAAGTATTTGTAAACGTGTGTGAATAACTTTTACTGTATGAAGACTATGCTCTAACTCTTTTCTGCAGAGAAACCTTGACCTGATGTTCTAAGGAGTTGTGTTTGCTTTAGCCCAAGATACTCACTAACTGGAAGTTTTCTGTGCAGGGGCTCCTCATGGAGATCTGTTGATCTGTGACTGTTTTTCCTTTAATTTTTTTCAAGTGTATTCAGCTTTTTCCTAATACTCTGCATGAGATGTGTTCCCTCTGCTGTGTGGTGCTTGCTTCGGACCTGCTTTATAGTTTTTTTCTTTCATGGGTAGTATTTAGAGATGGGCCAAACTGGTTCTAAAACCCACCGTGGTCGCTTTGGTGTGGGCTCTATCGTCTGTGTTCAGTGGATTGGATAGAGTCAGACTCATGCCCTTAAAACAGCCTTTAAATTGGGTGGGGCTTTGTATTATCAGAAAGAGAAACTTTCTAACATCACAGTAAAAGACAAAAAAAAAAATAATCCCCCAATCGTTTGCAACTAATATTAACACTTCCTGCCATTTTCATCGCATCTTTTCTCTCACCTCACGTTCCTTTTCTTAGCCTTTGCTTCTTTATGGTCTTTTTAGTTTGTCGTGTGTGCAGCAATGTGTATCTCTAAAACTACTAATCAAGTAAAGACTACAGCACAGATGGGAAAGTGCATCTTGAGGGTGAATGTATTGTGGATGCAAAGTATGAGGTGACCACTCTGTATACCTCATGGTTTTAATCACATGCTGTGTGCCCAAGGGCCTCTTGGCCATGTAAAGAAGCTGTACAACAGCCTGGTGGATTTATCTGAGTGAAGTTGTGTATCCCCTGTGTCCCAGTTCTGCACTTTATGGACGAGCCTGTGTTTTGGGGACAAACAGGAACGGGAGGAGAATTTTGTCTCCAAAACACATTCATCCTAAAGTGCTCTTGCTCTGTGTGTCGGATGTCTCAATAGTTTTGTGTGTGGTTTTAGAGCTATTTAAATGAGGAAGTCCTTATTCCTTCCCTGCTCCTGTCCTGATGCCATCTCAGATCGTAAAAGGGGAAGGGTTAACAGAGGCTGAGGTGGATGCCTGCACCAAATAGGTTACCTTTGTCAGTCTTGGCCCATCTGTAGCAGTCCTGTACCTTCCCTGGTAGTACCTGTTTCATGATGGAAGAAAACTGATTCATGTTGCTTCCCCATGCAGCGCTGATAGAGCGGGTCTACGTGGTAGAAAGGGAGTTGCACTCCCTCCTAGGCCTAGAACAATTTTATCTTTCTAAATTGAGAAAGAACAAAACATTGGCAGAAGCTTGAACAGCAGTTGACTGAGAGAAGGACTAGCGAGGCTGACACTGATGTGATCTTGGAGAAGGAAGATTGTGTTTTCTATGAACAGTTTCAATTTTTTCATTCAGAAATAAAATCAGGATTCGGGTTTTGATGGGGCTGCCAAGTGCAGTTGTAGTCTATAAAAATCTCACCATTTATTAACAGAAATCAAGGTGGGGGGAGTTTTGAGTGATTAACAAAACACCTTTTTGTAAAAGAAGCAAAGTATTGTGCACTCGTACTAGTTGATTGCCAATGTTTTGAACACTGGCAGCAAAGCTATCCTATAATAACTTTTGCTTGATGCATTAATTAATTAACCCTTAACCTTTCTTTCCCTTTTCAACCCTTTTTCTCCTTTTCCCCTTCACCAAATTCCCACGTATGTAAACAATTAAAAACCAAACCAAAACCAAACCAAAACAAAAACAACCCCCAAACCAATACAAAAGCGGGAAATGCATGTGTGGCCATGCCTCACAAAATAGGTCGGATAATTGAAGGGAGTCCCGCAGACCGCTGTGGCAAGCTGAAAGTAGGCGATCGGATCTTGGCCGTGAACGGGTGCTCCATCACCAACAAGTCGCATTCAGACATCGTCAACCTCATTAAGGAAGCGGGAAACACCGTTACCCTGCGCATCATTCCAGGAGATGGTAAAGTATATGTTTCCTGCTGTCTTATCTGACCCTCTTGTTGGTTTTGTTCCTGGATCAGTCAGGAGAGCTGCAAAGTCATGGAGACTCAATTTCCCCGCCCACTTTGGGAATTAGCCGTGAGGGAGGTTGTGAGTCTTCCATAGCTTTATTTTTTGTTTCTTTTTATAGAAATGGGAGTTCTGGTTTTGAACAGAGAGGTGCTGATTCTACATTAAAAAAATAGTATTTTGTTCTATCATGTTCCTCCACATATCTCCTTCAAATAATCTTCTGTAAATTTGATGCATAACTGGGTACACTTCGATTTGATTCTTAGATTAATAATGCAGCTTTAGAATATTTGGGAATCACTTGTTAGTATGTGGGATTCCTGAAGCTTTGTATATCCACAAGCAGACTATAGAGTAAAGAGATCACAGAAAGGGATAAACACTTTGTCATGTTTTAAGCTGTTCGAAAAGAAGATTTGTTTTTATTCTGGGTAAGTTGCTTTGGGAGTAAGCTCAGTACATTTTGAAATGACTTTGTTAAATGGTGATGGCTCTGGAGCTGCTCTGTGCTTGCAGCCGGTGGTTGTAAGAGTTTCCCTAGACAGGATCTCACTGTTTCAGATCAGAGGGAACATGCAGGATCCCTAATGATGTGCTGAGACTTGGTACTGGTTTCAGGTCACTGAACTATTTAATAAAAATAAGGATCTATGCCATATAACAGTTTCATTAAATTGATCCCAAGCTGTGATGCCAAATAGGAACGGAGCCGATACGTGTGTAAAGTATCTGTAGCAGAACTAAAATTGCCGTGCTTCTAAATTCCAAGTATTTTTTTTTGTTGTCCTGCACTGCCATGGACGAGTTCATAGCGAGGAATCGTTAGGCAGAAATCTTTTTGCATTGCTCTCTTTTTAAGCTGAATCCACGGGTATAAGATTTGAAGGCTCAGATACAGTGCTAGTGAGCATTTCTTAGAGTTGTACAGGACATTAATTGCATTCAGTTACATGTAGAGAAAGTGTGATTAAGTTTGAAAGAAAGGTTGAGAAGGTATGGCTGAATTGAACCTGGTAGCTGTAAAGCAGAATTAAGAAGTTACGTGATGTGATTTTCAGTGAGAAGCATTCAGGAGTTGCTAACTCTCATACTTTCTAATCTGAAACATGGATTTCGTTACCCCGCAGAGCATGATTGTGCTATGTTTAGTTATAGGATAAAAATAGGCTAGAATGAGAAATGATCTGGTTATAAATTATTTCTGTTTAGGACAATCTGTTTTGCATAAAGGCTTTATTTTCCTACTGTTTAGTAGCTACCAGGTCAAATGGTATATGATCGTTTGCTGCTTCCAGTAAATTGAGTGTTCATGAATAATGAAAGGCCTGTGAATCAGGCTAACATCTGAGCTGCGCTGTGCATGCCAGTTTTGGAAGGTAAACTGGGAGAAGACTTGTTCATTACCTGTATTTTGGTATCTGATCAAAATCAAGGAAGGTGAATCTTTGAATAAATGAGTAAAGATTTTTTTAAAAAGGCAAAAATACTTAAGAAATAAATAACTTTTGAATGATTTAAGATATTTTTAAGAAGAATGTAGCCTTCTGACGTGAATGCACAGCCAGTCTTGTTCATGCAAATAGATGTACAAAATACCACATTAAATTGCTTAGGTTAGAAGGGAAACCCATACCTGTGACTGACATTGCATATTCCTAGAGAAGGCAGAAAGCTGTAGTTTAGGGAAGGAGACAACTCTTCTTTCTCATAGCAGTGCAAGCTTCAAGTCTTTTTATTTACTGTCCCTTTAAAATTCTGAGTGAAATTGCCAACTCTGCATAGTATTACCTGCATTTAATTTCCAAAAGCCAGCAACATCAGACACTCTCAAAATCACTGAGAGGTTTGCTCTAAACCCCATGAGATTAAAGAAATTGGTCTCAGTGTTGATTTCTTTTTGTGTCTTTGGGTGATTTGGTTGATTTTTTTTGTTTTCTTTTTGTTTACTTTTGGGTGCTTTTCCGGTAAATATAAATGGTCTAACAGTGTACTTAAAGCAGGGGGGGGCGGGGAGTGTGGAGGATAAATCAGAAGCCATACGTCTCAGATAAAATGAAACTAAGGCTCATCACAAGACTCACAATAAACTCACACTGCTAATCTCTTCTAACATTATTAAAAACACCAAGGGTTTTTGCTTTGTGATAAGTCTTGCACCAACTCATTGCCATAGACCACTGCAGGAGTGTATTTGCAATGAAATTACGATGCTTTAACATGCTACCAGAAGATGCAAGGATACAGAGAGCTGAAAAATGACAAGCTTAGATTAGGCATTTAATTGGTGTCTGAGTGTTCTAGGGCAGAACAGCACAAGGAATCAATGAAATATGTAGGATGTAGAACATACTGTAGGGTTGAGAACACACAATTGTCGTTCTACTAGAGAGATTTTTTGCTGTGTTTGTGTTCTGTTCCAGTTTTGCCTGGTGGCTGGCACGCGTCCTGAGCCAGTGTCTAAGAAATTAGCAAAATTATGCACAACTCCTGACTCATGGGATAGGGTGGGCTAAAGATAGATGCAGTACAGTGGTGTGAAGATACATCTGTACCAAAGATGTGTTGTTGCTCTACTTGGTATTCTTAGCGTGACCTACTAAAGGGTAGGAATCTTGCATTCTCTTTGAAGCCCGTCTTCATCTGATCTCCAAATATTTGTGGAGGATTTCAGAGGGTTTTGTTCTGGATGAATACAGAACACTTAACCATGTTTTGGGGCCTTCTGACGTTGCGGACCAATTTTAGCATCCAGGCTTCTTTACAAAATACACAGAATTATTTCTTAAAATCCACCAGTGTAACCACACATAGGGGTGTCTCCTCCTCACACATGCCAGCTGTCAGCAGCACATCCTTGCAAGGGTATGTTTTGGTCATGCCTGCCCTGAGAGGTGCAGGCAGACTCAGGAGCCTCTCTTGCTCTCTGAGCCACTGGACACAAGCCAGCTCTGGTCTGGAAGATGTTACAGCTCCATATGCTGAGGGTTTGGGCATGTTAACTTGGGCACAGTGCTGCAGGCAAAGGAGCTGTGCTCTCATTGCACCCATCTGTTTAAATGGTTCTTCTTTCTCCCTTTCCCTTTTCCTGAGTTTCCCTTGACATGTACTAGCTACAGAAAGTAAAAACTTTCACCTCATCTAGACTTCTCCACAATTAAAATAAATCCATGAAATAAAACAGGTTCCCAGGACCAAGTAAGCCCATGACTACCAGGCAAAACCCCTCACATTTCTGCAATTTTGTATTACAACTGGACTCTGTTTAATAATGGCAGATTTCTCTGTAGTCAATAAAATGGATTACTGGATGCCTGGAGCTTAAGAGGCAAACAAGGGTGGGGTAGACCTTGTAACTTTATGTTGGAGAGCCAGATGTTTCTACCTGGGTTTCGTTGCTGATGGTGGCTTTTGTTTTAAGTGGGATTAGAACTAGAGAAATTCAGACAGGAAACAAGGTGCATTGTTTTAACCAGTGATTGTGCATTCAGTTTAGATTTTGACCTTGAAAAGTGGATTGTGGTCAGTATTTTGTAGTTATTTGCAGTCTGTGGTCCTCCCCTAGATAGAATGGGTATAGGCACAAATTGGGGCTCTCCTCCATGCAGAACTCTTCCACAAAGGAGTGAGTGCCTGCCACTGCAGTGACTTGAGCTGGGAATGCCATGCCTAATGAGTGGGTGTTTCTACTGAATGTGCCCATCATTCTCCATATGCAACCAAGGTAACTGTTCAACATTTTGAGTGGTTAAGCATGTACCACCAACTCTTCCTCTGGATTCAAACTCTGCATGAGGGGAAGGTGTTTTCAGGAACTGCTGGCTTCCACAGCGATTCAAAATCTGAAACTTCAGTACTAATTTCAGGTCAGGACTGGTACAACATGCATTTCTGGAAAATGTCTTGAGTTCGATATGCAAGAGTTCCAGGTCTCTCCTATGTTGCTAATATTTGGCTAATGGCATTGACGTGACCTTAATTTTAGGCTTAATTTTAGATGAGTTCTGGGTTAACTCTGGTTTTATTGAACTGTATGATAAAGCTCCAAAATGGCAAGGGGACGATTTTGCTGTGCCATACAGGGAGGGACACATAGATAGTCACTTTTCAGTTGTGTCTACAGCAGCTCCCTTTCCAGTTTTGTGAAGCAGGGGAGAAGACCTCTCCTGGAAGCACCTCCTGCCATGGGTAGAGTAATATGGTGTTTGCACAGGCTGATGTTGGGCTGAGAACCCTTTACCATGGCATAAATTGAGTTTTGAAGTTAATCTTGCTCTCTCCACTCTCTTGGTGAGCCCTTCTGTGAATGATACCCAGAGCTGTCGATGCATTTGGTACAGGTGGTTCCATGTCCCTGCCTGCAGCTTTGAGTGCTCAGGCAGCAGTGGGTTGTATTTCAAACATGGATTTCAGTGAGTTTGGGGTTTAGCCACATTCAATATCACCTTGTGAGGTATTAGATAAAAGCCACATCTCAATCCTACTGAAGATTGCAGTTTCTGATGGAGGAAGCACTGATAAGCTTATAATCCATGGAATAGTTATTGCTGCTATAAAATTAATCCAGCCAACCTACCATATTTGGAGACTTTAATGATAGGAATTCATGTCATTAGACAACAGACAAAGCATTCTTCAACCCTTCCTCCATAAGTCAATCTTTGTTCTGAGTGTGTCTAACGATCAGAGGTGTTTCTAATCCAGATTTCTCAATTGTTTTTTCTTTTCCATTTTCCAATTGAGTGTACAGTTTCATATATGTAATTACTGTGGCTTAGCTTAGACTTTATCCTGTTAATTTTTTGATTTAAGAAATTTGAGCCAATCTCAAGTTCTTTAAAAACAACATAATGATGCTGTCCAGTGAAATGCGTCTGCAAAACTTTGTCTTTCAGTGAATAGGCAGTGGTCTTCCCTCATAATGAAAAAAATTTATTTTGCAGAATCCTCCAATGCTACTTTATTGACCAATGCAGAAAAAATTGCTACAATTACAACCACACATACTCCTCAGCAAATACCACAGGAGACCAGGTCAGATTGTTTTCCTTGAGGAGAGCATGTTGGCATGCTCTCTCTTCAGTTACTTCTTGATCATCTTCACATCCCGTGAGCTGTATTTTTCCTCTCTCCCTCTTTCTCTCATTCGTTACAGCAGGAACAACACCAAACCAAAGCAGGAATCCCAGTTTGATTTCAAACCACCCCAAGCAGCACAGGTAAGGAGTACCTTTCTAATTGTTTTGTTTACCACAGACTGTTGCTTCTAATCTGCTTGATGGCTGTGTTCAAATATTTCCCTTGAAAATTCCTACTGGGAAGCTGTTCTCTCTCTGTCTGTTTGCTGAAGAAAGAGGAATTTGCTGATTAGTTTCTTAGTATGTTGCGGTTGTTTCAGCTTGAGAAACGTTTCCAACACATTCTCATTAAGACTTTCAGGGAGAAAAAAGAAGGCGAAAAAAAAGCTGACATTTTTACACCAGTAATAGTTTATGTGTTTGTTTATTGAACTGTATATTTTGAGGGGCCTCTCCAGAAAGTTGTGCTGTATGCAAATGATAAATTCAGAGGATAAAAAAAGAGGAAAACTTAATAAGGGGCAATAGCTGGAGTGTTCCAGCTTTCACAGACAGCATCTTATTAGAGAGATTATCTATCTCACCGTTAACTTTCTTTGCCACTGGCCATCCCAGAAGTAACCTCTTCCATTAGAGTCTTCAAAACATCCCTGCGCTAACAGCATTTGTGAAAAACAATGCACGTGCTTTTGAGCTTCTTGCAAAGGAATAGATGAGGTGGTAACAAAAACGAAAAGCCAGCACCATGGCATAGACTCATCCTGGGTACCATTAGACTTTTAAATAAAGCCTGGCACTGGAAGTCACATTCCCCTAGCCTTCCGTTGCAGTTGGTAGAAAGCTAACCACCCCCCAGAAATACGCCTTTTCAGCCTGGGCACAGAGGTGAAACCAGCCCTTTGCAGACCACCACCGAAATGCCAAATTGCAGGGTGGGATTTGAGGAAGCATGAAATCTTCGTCTGTGTGTGAAAACTCAACTGATTCTCTTTTTAATTATGAGTAGCAAAAATAGTAATGTTTGTTGGTTGAATAATTTCAACATGAGAGTAGAGCAGCATTTAACTTCCTGTTCAATTGTGCATATGTTGTCTTCCCTCCAGCAGGATCAAGACTTTTACACTGTCGAGCTGGAAAGAGGAGCCAAAGGGTTTGGCTTTAGCCTGCGAGGTGGCCGGGAGTATAATATGGATCTGTACGTGTTGCGGCTCGCAGAGGATGGTCCAGCTGAGAGATGTGGGAAGATGCGGGTATGCACAGATTTAAAAAACACATTTCTTTGCAATAAAGTGGCTTCCCTGGCTCTCCCTTATGGGCACACCTTCTGCTGTGCCAGCTGAAAGGAAAATGAAATGTTAACTGAAAGGAGCAGAGGTTCCTATTTAGTTCTATCAATGGCTTCTGTCACTCTCTGTATACAGTCTGTAGCAGTGTGTGTGCAATGGGAGACTTCACCCCCTTGTTCCAGCCCAGGTTTCCAAATTTTAGTATAATCTGGCTTTTAAAGCCTAACGAAGATACATGTAGCAATGAAAATGTGATAGCCACAATCTTTGTCGGCTCTTTTAAAGCTGCAGCCATGAGTAGAGAATCAGGTTTTCCCGCCTAATCCTCTCCTCTGCTAGTGGGCAAGGTAGGGAGAGAGCATCTATATTGACCCATAGGTTACAGAATTATAATGTAGTTTTTGATTAGTATTAGCTGTTAACGTCTTATGGCTAAATTATAAACATTATATCAAGGGCATATGTTATGAAATGCCTACAGAAAAATTAAATTGCCAAGTTTTATGTACTCCTTGCTCCTCTGTTAGAGAAGGCATTATAACTTTACCACGTATGTCTTTTTCTTCTCCAGATATGTCCTGTGAAGGGCATTTTCAAAATTCTTTTGCTAGGTGTAGATTTATAGGTCTGAACGTTTTGCTGATGAAAATAAATCAGTGCTGCCCTGTGGAAGTTAATGCTTTGACAAGCTCTTCCAAGCCCTGTTTTACTATCCTGATAAATGATTATATTTACAAAAGCAACTTTACTGGTTCATTGTAGGTATCTATACCCAAGTGAGAAACAGACCTGAAAAAAGCTATTTGAACATCCTAGTTACAGCAGACTGTAAAACAAACAACCACTTTGACCAAAAACTTTACAAATTATCAAAGTAAAATAAAATAACACCAGTTCTAACACAGCTCTAGCCACTGAGCCACACAGTAATGCGATGTGATTTTACAGAACAGCAATGAAATATTTTGATACCTCAAGCTTTCCCTGACATCTTCATGTCTCCCAGGCCCCTGCACACTCATTTTTGTGGACTGTTGCTGGAAGGAGTTGGGCGTATTTAGCTTCACCTGGTGCATAGTTGTTCTTCCACATTTGCTGTGGCTGTTGTCTTGCGGTGTGCTGGCGGTGACCCTCGCGGGGGCTTGTTTCTAATCTTAGACTCCTTTCTTCTGTTACATTGACAGATCGGTGATGAAATCTTAGAGATCAACGGAGAAACTACCAAGAACATGAAGCATGCTCGGGCCATCGAACTGATTAAAAACGGTGGCCGCAGGGTCCGCCTGTTTCTGAAACGTGGAGATGGCTCTGTCCCAGAATATGGTGGGTCAAACTATGAAAACATTCCTTTCTTCCCTGGCATCACTCCATGAATGATTTATCTCAAGATCTGAAGCAGGAATTCTTTTTTATTTTCCTTTCTCACCAGTGTCTTACCAACCTTTGCAACATATGGTTAATTGCCTCGCTTGTGCTGAGTTTTCTACACATTTCATCCTTTGCTTGCTTCCATGGACTTGGGGCGCAGTGTAAGGCAAGATCATCATAGCAGTATTTTTGGTGATCAGAGAGGAAAACAAAACAATACAAAAAAACCTTATTGTCATGTCCAGCCAAACAAGGAATGTCATTGAACTGTGCCAAACTGTTTCTCAGCGGCTGAATTGTTATTTCATATAGGTCTCTACTTCTAATCAATGCAAAAACTGGGATCCTGAGTTATTATTCTGAAGCAGTGAATTTTTTTTTTGTTAGGTTTTTCTCTTAGTTCCTGTCTGTATCCATAGACATGAATGCCGA